GATTATCCAGAATCACTCCCAAGGCGTCAAAAATAAAAACTCTGAAACCAAAAACAAGGCACTACCAAACTGCGGATGGAATCTCATTCACGTGCGAAGAAAAAGCACGGGATATAAAGCCCAAAAAAGAAAAATGAGAAAAATGAGGGCCTCAGGTGAAAAAAAAAAAAAAACAGTGAGACGAGGACTCGCCAGACCGCGGTCATAACAGAGTAAACCGTAGGCAGCAAGCCCCACCTCTCATTGCGATCGTGTCTGGTCAAGAAAGAAACCCTTCTCGTTCTCGGCCCATAGGGTTTTCTCTTATAGCCTCTCACACCACCACCAAGCGATATGGGTATGTTTCTCTTCTTTACTACACTCTACACATTGTGCTTGCCTTCTTTTCTTTTGTTTTCCCAGTTACCAAACAGAGTTCAGAGAATGGTGGCTTTAAAATATGTGAACTTTTCTAGAAATGGAGCAGTAATATACTAATCTTTTAGTTAGAGAGTTGCATTTCAAAGCCTTTTCTTTTAGCCATTGACAAAGGTTAAGTGATAAAAAAAAACTGATTTAATGTGTGTATATGTGTATATGGGAGACACACTTGTCGGTTGCCTAGAATCTTGGTGACAGGTATGACCCACATTTCAGACTAATTTTCTTTGAATTTCCTTGGATATGGGTAAATTAAATTTTCAGTAGAGGATCTTCCTTGTAAAAAGGTTAAATTAAATTCTTTGGGGAAATGGGAGCAATTTAGAGTTTAGAGTTTGTTAGTGGCCTTTGGGTCACATGCTATCTTCTCTCCCCACATCTATGGAGATGTAGGGTGAGTTGGTGGGTTTAATACTAATAATTCACCAAGAAAAATAGAGGAAAAAAAGAGAAGGATGTGACTGACTTTCTAGTATTATCTTTAGGTCAACAGAAATGAAGGTCAAGTGAATGTAAAAATAGGCAAGGGCATGTAGGGAAATTCCGTAGTTTATGATATTTTTTATTGGGTCATAGGACATGTAAAAATAAGCATAATTGATATTGTGCTAAAACATAGTTGCACTTCTTGAAATGGAAAGAAGCTCTCCTGGAGCTGGATGAAATTTATCCCAGTCCCACCTTTCATCTGCAAGAATACATTTTTAATTGTATGGTGGCTCAGGGGCACATATTTAAAACAAATGGGCTATTAAATAATGTGTTGCTCTTCTACTAGGCCTACATGGGATTTCTAACCAAATTCAGTTTCATGGAGGAGTTCAATTTTTGTCAAATATGGATCAGTTTTGGCTTTTTGGTATATATAAGGAGCATGTGATTTTTTATTTTCTGTACTACGTACCAAAAAAGATTTCTTTACCACTTACAACGAGCATCTTCAGCTGGTTAGTTCTATAGGTTTTTTCTGTGCAGTGACTGTTTCCTGCAGGGGTTGCCATTCTTTCCTTTAATATAGTAAAAGACTATTGGCATAAGAATCTGGTTTACGATCATTTGATGCATAGATTTCCTTTCTTGGTTAGACTATAATATGATTTCCCTGCAGAAAAGGTGCTTTATGTCTGAAGGAAGTTTGATATCTCTAATTACTGAAAGTTTAGGTTGATCATGGTTAATCTGTGCTTCTTCCATTTTAACCAGCACTTTTGGGGTTGAATGCAAATCTAGAACACGATTGATCTTATTTTCTCCATAATGTTTATGATATTCATTGTATCTTTGTAATCAGGTTGCTCTTTGCAATTTTGGATTGAAGTAAATTAATATTTTGTAGTGAATGTATGCAATTGATGCTCCCTTTAGAAACCTTTCTGTCCTTTAAATGCTTCCAGTTTATATCTTCTACTTGATATGCTTCATTGGTATCTACGAAAACTAAACTAGAACATTTTCCCAACTAAGCCTGATCTATTACTAGGCTTTCTCATATAATTTCCATTTCTTTTCTCAATTGAAAATAAATGAAGCAATTGCAAAAGTGGAGTTGAAGTTGTTAGTTGGCCCACGAACCTTAGCTGAAGTGGTAAGGGGTGGATGGGGGTGAGGGTAGAGATCCTAGGTTCAAACCTCCCTGTAATAAAACAATTTTGTTCTTTGAATGTCTTATTTTATTTTTCAATCAGGAAATTACAAACACAATCATGGTATTGGATCTGAAAGGATGTCTCCAGCAACAAAGCCTCATGGAAGGGATGATTGGGATATAGAGTTTCAGATTCACCGTATGGAAGCAAAGGCATACCATGCTGTGTTGAGGGCTTTTAGTGCTCAATCGAATAATCTAACTTGGGTAAAGTTTTAAATGTTAACCTCTTTTTTGGCACTTACAGATTTCATAATCATGTTGCTTCCTATTTGTCTCTACGGATTATTTTTATTTCCTTGTGTTATTGTGAATTGTTTTCTTTCCATTTTTGTGTTATCTCAATATCCAAAAAGTCTTTTATTATATAGGGACGAGAGGCACTTATGACTGAGCTGCGGAAGGAACTTAATATTTCAGATAATGAACATGGAGATCTGCTCATGAAGATTAAGTCAGATGAGGCGATAAAAGTGATAAGGTCCTCATAATTTGTTCCCGTTTAGTCATACAATAATACATCTTTTGTGATTGTTATCATAACTTGGCTGTGGAAAATCTTGTACAGTTTTTTTCTTTTCACTTTTTTGGTGTATTTTATGCAGGGAATGGCGGAATGATGCCCGTTGTGCTCAAGAGTGTGGTAAGGATGCTCCTAGATATCCTTCTAAACTAGTGAGCAATGCTCAACAGAGAGAAGTGGAGACTCAACATCCTCCTGTTTCAAAGTCTCAAAAATATTCCTCATGCAGTCAGCCTTGTACAGAAGTTATCCCTTCTGCTACTGCTGCACCAGTAAGTAGAAAATTTCCAAGCTGAAGATTGTTTATTGTCATTACATTTATTTTATAGCACATTTCTACATCCTATGGAAGGATATTTGGTCTCAGTAATCTCTTTAATAAATATCACAGGGTGCCCAAATCAAAGACAATGGTGGAATGAGAGTGAAACTTGGAAGAAACTTTGTGACTCAAGGAAACAGCCCTTTTTTGAACTTGAAGGCATGTATTTATTTAACTGTGGCGATGCTAGAGTGTTAGTCTTGAAATTTGCATCTCTCTCTCTCTGTATGTCTCGCACTCACTCACTAGTCACTCTCCCATACACACTCAGAGGCTGTCTCTTGGGAACAAATATGAGCTCTCTTCTGCTAGAAGCAAACATATAAGTCCATATAAGTCTCTCTTGTTGGAGTTGTGGTTGCAAGAGAAGGCGAACATTTCATTTAGAAGGTAGTGAATGGGCTTACCTTTGAGTATTCATATCCTTAGTGGTGTGTTATAACTTATAAGTTGCTATAAATTTGTAAACTGTATTGGCAAGTCAGATGGACGAGTCTTATCGTCAACTTGATCTTGTCCCTTTAAATTACTTTTCTTGTTGACAATAACAATTGTAAAAATGGTTTTCTTGATGTCTTTTGTGTTTGCATGGGTAAAGAAAACTGTAGAGTTTGATTCAGTGTCTACTTGTTACTGTAACCGTGGATTTACAACAAAATAAATGATGCCTTAAAGCTGCTGTCATTGGATAATGATGTTGTTGGCTTGGAGAAGCTCAAGGAATTATAAGATTAAAAATCAAAATACATTTTTGTTGGTTATGTGGATTTAAGGCATAGATCTAACTTGATGTAGTACATTGAGTGGTCAATGCATTACTAATGCGCATCCTGACAACAAAACTTTTCACAGTTTTTCCTTATCACTCTTGATTATTCATGGTCCTTTTGGGGAGATTTCTATACTGTCCTTACATTTATCTTTGAGGAGTTTTAGATTTATTTCTTTACTTCTTCAGCTACAATCTACATTAACCTCTGGTTCTACTGGATTATACCAAAATAGTATGTAATTGGGACAATATTACCTTAATTATATGTTAGATTTGCTGATTCTAAGACCTACTCCAACCTCACTTATCCTGTACCAGGGACAGGTTCAGTTTATCTTTGTTTAGTTTCAGATTTATGTTTGTTTCCTATAACTTCCTTTAAATGATTGTACTAAAATCACATGCTTTGAACTCGAGTTTCTTAAAATTCTTATACAGTACCAAGGACAACTTAGCAAGGCTCAAGGGAGTGGTGACTTGGCAATGCTCTCATCTGGGAATGGCAGACAGTCTATGCATATAAATGGTCATAACCCTCAGGCACCATATGGTAGCAGAAGTACTGGACTGGTAAAATCCCAATTGAAGATGGGCGTTCACCCAACTGGCTCTGATAATTTAAACAAAAGTTCTGATTTGATTAAGATACGTGCTACAGATAAAGTCCTTTATGAGGTGAGCCAAAATTTGTGTTCATATTTTTTCATAACATGGTTATTTGTTTTTTGCAATGTTTTCATGAGTTAACTTGGATATTTATTTTTAAACTGGATTCGGGTGCTGATTTTAGAGGGGAAGTTTAAAATACAACTTTTGATGCAGATATATGAAATGAAGTATTGATGGTTTACAATACTTGATATTGGTAACCATTGGAATCCCAAATTATGTAAAGTAATGAGAGTTTTATAAATATGGCTAAGCCATGTTCAAAGAATCTTTACCTTTTTAAAAACATGAGTTGGAATTAATGGAGATTAGTGAGTAGGATAAAGTAAAATTGTATGTTATAATGGGATTCTTCCACCATTTTAGCAAACTTTGATTGGATGAACCTTGGTATAGGGTTTGTAGCTGTTTATAGATTTTAGCAAACTTTGATTGGATCAACCTTGATATAGGGTTTGTAGCTGTTAAAAGAAAGAAACAGAATAATTCTATTAAGATGTCATAAATACAAGTACAACAACAACAGGATCAGTCCACCAATGTACAGATAGATCTTCAAGACTCAATTAGCAAACAGCCTCAGATACAAGTAGAACAGCAATGTATGATGCCCAAAAGAACTTGATCTCCTCCTCGCAGATATTTTTCCGAAGAAATATGATCTTTGAATAAATTATCAGTATGTAATTGCCAACAAAAGAAATTTTAGTTGGACATCTGAATAATTTCCATTGACACAATTAGTTCTGAAGGGTTCTTTGCCGCTTTATCTGTATGAGGTAATTGAGTTTTTGTTTGTCTTTTCAAACTCTTACACCCACGTCCCTCATATTGGGAAATATGAATTATTAGGTCATTAAGTATTCTGTTATACATAACGAATCACATCAGTAAAAGTTTTATTTTTTGTCTTTTCCTTAGGTGGCATCTCCTACTCTTGAGACTCTGTCTTTTGTAGTTCTGGACTCTGTCCGTAGTTACTGATCCATTCAGCATGCTTTTGTGTATGCTCAACATATAAAGATGTTCTCACCTGCGCCCTTGAAAGGTGGTTAGTTCGGGATACAAAAAGGAGATATGATTGAAAATTCTATTAATATAGAAACATATGATTGAAAATTCTATTATTATAGAAACCTTGTTGTATACTCCGAAAGTGCTGCTTGTCGTGTGTTTGCTTATGTTGCATGTTTCGCTTTTGGCAGGTTGAGAAGCTATTTGATTGTCAAGAAAGCCTAGTCCCACTTCATGTTGAGAAGGCAAAGTTAATCCTTAAAGTAATTTCTATACCCCATCCTGCAGCAATGCAGATAGTACCATTTTGTTTAAATTTAAATATCTGGCCAATAAGAACTCAACTATGATTTTTAAAACCTTAAAAAAGTAATACTATAAACCACCCAAATTTTATTTTGGTTTAGGAGCATGAAAGAGCTATCCTTGAAGCACTTGGCAAACTGCCTGATGTGTCAGATGTAGGTAAGGACTTCTTTCTTCAATCCTCTCTTCTCTCTTTGACTGCTGATTTCTGAAATATGAATATTGACAAGTGCTTGATTTTGTAGATGATTCTCCCAAGCAAATCAGGCATAAGTATCCTCATGAACAGCTTCCAGTAATGGGACGCAAAATGTTGATACGCAATGACTTCTATGGATAGGCCGGTAGGTTGACATACTGAGGGTTTCTGTTCTATTGAAACACACGTGGTTAGGATTTCCTTTCATTGGCATTCGAGATGATGAAGCTGCCACTTAATTTGACCTGGTAATCTTAGAGATTTGAAGTCATGTATATATAACTATCTATCATACGGTCCAAGGCCATCCCAGGCCTAACTATAGCTTCCCATGGTGATCACTAAGAATAGATGTTAGCTTTTGTTGCTTTATGAACAGAAACGCTTGAGACAGATTTTCTGAGCAAATAGGTTTTCTTGGCACAAAGATGTTGGTAAAAATTAACTGGTTTATTTTGCTGAAAAGTTATCCCAATTTCAAAAAATGTTCAGTTGCCCACGTTCTGAACAGTGTTCATATTCTTTTGGTTGTAGCATGTGGATGTTTTGTTTTGCACCCTTGCTCTGTCTCTCTCTACCTTTTTTTCTTGCTGCTAGGAAATTTCGTTTTCTGGAACTTATTTCGGGTACATAAGAGATTTAATTGGGATTTCAAATCAGAGGACGAAAACTGTATCAGAATTCCAAATCATTATGGGTTTGAGATTTTAACAAAATGAAGGTGCCTCTTACTAAACCAACCCGTGTTACTGATATATCATGTGTCATTTTTTCTAGTATAGCTAAAGGCTTGTTATAAATAAATAAAAAAGAAAATAATAACACCGCACGTTACCTCTACGAAAGATAACAGATTCCTCTCCAGAAGTTCCAAAAATAATGGACTTCAATTAATATCTACATCCTCAGCAACACTTCCTCAACAAGCTCGTGTGTGAAGTTTTGAATGGCAAGCTCAACCTCCACACTTCAACCCAAGAAACTCTCACTTTTAATCCTCAACATATCCTTTCTCTTCCTCTTGTGTCTCTCTCTCATCACAACGCCTCTCTATTCTCTCTCTCATGACAGCTTAGGCTTACTGGGCCAATCCAATAATACAAATCTCAGTGAGATCAAACTAGTTGATGGCTGCACAAATCTCCATGACCACACAGATTATGCAACCAAGTGCTTGTATGTCAAAACACATACAGGTTGCAGGCCTAAAGGGTACATCAATTATCTCCAAATATTTTACTGCAATCTTGGCAAGTTTCCAGTTCTAGGCCATGCTGCAATTCTACTTTGGCTTTTTGTTTTGTTCTATCTGTTGGGAAACACAGCTGCTAATTATTTCTGTTCCTCCTTAGAGAGCTTGTCCAAAATCTTGAAGCTCTCTCCTACCATAGCCGGAGCCACCCTCCTCTCCCTCGGAAATGGGGCCTCCGATGTCTTTTCGAGCATCGTTTCTTTCACGAGATCCGGTGATGGTGATGTTGGCCTCAACAGTGTGCTAGGGGGTGCCTTCTTTGTGTCCAGCATTGTGGTAGGAGTTATTAGCATACTGATTAGCCCTCACCAGATTTCAGTTGATGAGGCCAGCTTTGTTAGAGATGTCATCTTCTTCTTATTCTCTCTCTCATCTCTTCTTGCAATCATTGTTATTGGAAGGATCAACTTGTGGGGTGCCATTTCTTTTCTTGCTATTTACTTCGTTTATGTTGGCACAGTTTCAGCCACTCAATTATACAAAAGGAAAAACAGAGAATTGTTAGGGGACAGGTTTTCAACATCTCTTGCTGCTTCAAAGAATTTACAAGTGCTACAAAGCTTTGATGACTTAGGAGATAGTACTAGTACACCATTACTAGGCTATGTCGATGAGGATAAACCTATTTTCGACACGAATTCGAAAGCCAGTCTTGATGTTCATCAAGAACAAAATTCTGGGTTTTCTTATTTGGGAACATTGATTTATATCTTGGAGTTACCTCTCTACTTGCCTAGAAGATTGACCATACCGGTTGTGAGTGAAGAAAGATGGTCCAAGCCATATGCAGTTATTTCTGTAACTTTGGCACCAGTTTTGCTGGCTGCCCTTTGCAACACACAGAGGGAGAATCTGAGCTCAAGAGGTAAATCAGTAACATACATGACAGCAGGGCTGATTGGGTTGGTTTTGGGTAATCTTGCATATGTGACCACAAATAAGTGGGGCCCACCAAAGAAGTGCTTGTTCCCTTGGCTTGTTGGTGGGTTTTTTATGAGTGTAGCTTGGACTTATATTATTGCTGCAGAATTGGTCTGTTTGTTAGAATCATATGGGAATATATTGGGGATTAGCCCTTCAATTCTAGGACTTACTGTCCTAGCTTGGGGTAACTCCCTTAATGATTTGATAGCTAATGTTGCTATGGCAGTGAATGGTGGGCCAGATGGGGCCCAGATTGCTATTTCAGGCTGTTATGCGGGTCCCATGTTTAACACATTGGTGGGAGTGGGTATGTCACTGGTTTTCTCATCTTGGTCTGAGTATCCATCCTCCTATGTCATTCCCATTGACCATTCTCTCTATGAAACGATAGCGTTTTTGATGGGTGGCTTGCTGTGGGCCCTCGTGATTTTGCCCAAGAAGGATATGAAGCTGGATCGTTACATGGGGATTGGCCTTGTGGCAATTTACTTGTGTTTTCTGTTTCTCAGGCTGGCCATGCTCTTGGTCTTTTGAATTTTAATTTCATGGCTCATTCAAAATGGGGCATTGTCGCAAGTTTATAGAAACTTCCTTTATCAATATACATACATTTTAGTTAAATAGTATCCTTTTGTCTAGTTATTTTGATGTCGAGTTAGTACTTCCTTTTTTTGTTATAAATGGTGTTAGAAATTTGGTTCAGACCAAATGGTTTTTAGTCAACTATGAGACACAAAATTGAAAGGATTTATAGTTCAAGTGATTAAAAACAATTAACTCTACATCCGATATCCTGTGTTCAAATCACCGCTCTCCTAATATCGTGGTTGAGCATGATAGACTCTTCCCCCAAGACATGTCAAAGGATTTTTAGCACACACACATGGTCCAAAAGCTTTTAATGCATCCACTTGGACTGGACGTCCATTTCCTTCCCGTGGTTTAAAAGCACTTATGTGGTCCATAGAGAGCCCATGGACACGGTGAGTTCGCCAGCCTGTTGGAGAGACAAGAAGCGTTGGGTAGGTAGCCAATTATCGCACGGGTTCCAAAGGTCGACTAGGTTGTGTGTTGTATTTTAATCATGATCCTCTTTAGTGAGGTCTGTGCCACAAATAATTCCACTTGTGCAGAATGCTTGTCGAGCACTCGCATGAAACATGTGGATTTTGTAGACTCTAAATTAGTAATTTTGTATCCAAATTATTATTCATAGAGCAGTGTAAACTTACATATTGGGAGTAGAGGTGCCAAATGGATCGGGTCGGCCCGTTTAAAGCTTATTTATTAAATTTTATTTATTTTAAAGAAAAATAATACATAATATTATTACATTTATATCTTAAATTCAAGTTTATTTCTTATTTTTAATAATATATATTAAAATTTAATGTTTTCTTTATATATAAAATAATGATTTTATTTTTCAAGTTTCAAATTTTAAAACCCAAATAATAATCCAGCCATTTTCTATGTAAATGTACTTTAAATAAAGTTATTGACCTCGTTTTTTAAAAAAAAAAAACAAATAATAAAAAAATTATTAGTATATACATAATTGTAAAAATGATTTAAATGATGTTGTAAAAAAAATTACAAAAACAATGCAATACATAAGTTAAATTTGGCGTGAGCCCATATCGGCCCGTTTAGTGGCCAAGCACGAGCACAGCCAGAGCCTGTGGGCTCGGGCCAAGATTGCAGATTTTTATAAATGAGCTGGCCCAACACAATCCATTTATTAAATGGGCCAGGCCAGGCCAGCACGGTCCTTTTGACACCTCTAGCTGGAAGTGAGAATTGTCATTCCTAAACAGCTTCTAGAAGCTGTTTCTCTAATTAATTTAGCATTACTGTGGCAGTAAATAAATTATCCACCAAAGTTATTCATTATAACGATAGTTATTGTTGGATGCGTATGACATTTCGCCTATAAACTCAAAAGAAAACACATAAGTAATTTAAGGGTCATTGACAAATAAGAAAAAAAACAGTGTCAATTGAGTAAAATAAAGGTTCTTGGTCCATTTTTATTCTCGTTACACTATATTTTCATGCAATTTCGAGTAAGAGTTTTTAGTAAGATTTAGGGTTTTTACAAGATTTAGGAATTTTGTACAATAAAATTTCACTAGTACTCCGCATATCATTTACAGCCAAGTCCACAATCGATGGTATCCTTATTGAGGATCTCTTGTAAAAGGGAGGAGGTAGAGTAAAAAGTTACAAAGCATAAATCCTTTTTTTTTTTCAAAGTTTGGAAGGGGGAGGGGAAGATTTCATTAGGGTTCGAACCTAAGACAACTGATCTGCAAACAAATGCTATTACCGCTGAGCTATGGACTCGTTGGCAGTTACAAAGCAATAACTTATTAGTAATCTAGCTAACATAAAGTAAATTATTAGTAAGATATGGTACACGTAAGTTAAATTTGAGAGATAATTGTTGCAGAATATAAATCCCACATCAGAAACTTGACTAAATGAATGGTTCCACTACTAATATCATCGAGACCTTTTGTATAAAACTCCACACTTGCTAAACATATGGTTAAGTTGGGGACAATATCAATATTACTAGTAGTGGGCCATGGGTTCGTCCCTCTAAAATCTTAACAGTAATGAGGTCAGACAACACCTACCTAAGTCATGGGACGAAGAGTACCATTAGCATTTGCAAATTGCAACAACAATCCTCTTAGGTAGAAATACTCAAAGCAAAGTCATACAAGGTAGAAATTACCAGTGTCAAAAGTCGTATAAGTCATTAATAAAAAAACCAAAAAAGAGAGATTTAGAGAGAGAGGCTCCTCCTTCTCTCTAAGATTTCTCTCATCTCCACCGCCCTTTTTTGAGTAGCTAGTGTTGACGCGAGTCTCCTAATTAATCAAGAAGATTTATTTCCTTGATTAATTAAGGGATTTACTTTCATATTCTATATAGTTGACAAATCATTGTATAATTAGGAGATACTATCCTAATTGATTACTGTATATATTTCCTTGTAAAACGCTCATGTAAACTTCTATATATACCTTCTTATGGAGATGAATAAAACCTAACCAAAAGTATTCAAACCATATTCATATTTAAGCATGGTATTAGAGCAATCGATCCTAAGTTGTCTCTAAACCCTTATCTCAAATTTCTCATATTCAAATCCAAAACCCTAAATCAAATTCCTCATATTTTTCCCTAAATCCAAATCCCTCAAATCTAAAGTCCTCAAATCCTCTTATCAAAATCCCTAAACACATAACCTCAAATCTTATACACATACCTCTCAAATCCAA